TCTTCTACAAACATCTGTGAAAGAATGGATCGCTCTCAGCAGCTCAAGCGTTGTACCGTGATAGGTTTCTACCTGTGCAATAAGTCCATTCGTGAAATTTCCTCACTACTAAATATTCCACGGTCAACTGTTAGTGGTATTATAACAAAGTGGAAGCAATTGGGAACAACAACAACTCAGCCACGAAGTGGTAGGCCATGTAAAATCACAGAGCAGGGTCAGTGCATGCTGAGGCGCACAGTAGTCGTCAACTTTCTGCAGAGTCAATAGCTACAGACCTCCAAACTTCATGTGGCCTTCAGATTAGCTCAAGAACAGTGCGTAGAGAGCTTCATAGAATGGGTTTCCATGGCCGAGCAGCTCCATCCAAGCCTTCCATCACCAAGTGCAATGCAAAGCGTGGGATGCAGTGGTGTAAAGCGGATGCAGTGGTGTAAAGCGGATGCAGTGGTGTAAAGCGGATGCAGTGGTGTAAAGCGGATGCAGTGGTGTAAAGCGGATGCAGTGGTGTAAAGCAGATGCAGTGGTGCAAAGCGGATGCAGTGGTGTAAAGCAGATGCAGTGGTGCAAAGCGTCGGATGCAGTGGTGTAAAGCGTCGGATCCAGTGGTGTAAAGCGTCGGATGCAGTGGTGTAAAGCGTCGGATGCAGTGGTGTAAAGCGTCGGATGCAGTGGTGTAAAGCGTCGGATGCAGTGGTGTAAAGCGTCGGTTGCAGTGGTGCAAAGCGTCGGATGCAGTGGTGTAAAGCGTCGGTTGCAGTGGTGCAAAGCGTCGGATGCAGTGGTGTAAAGCGTCGGATGCAGTGGTGTAAAGCGTCGGATGCAGTGGTGTAAAGCGTCGGATGCAGTGGTGTAAAGCGTCGGATGCAGTGTAAAGCGTCGGATCCAGTGGTGTAAAGCGTCGGATCCAGTGGTGTAAAGCGTCGGATGCAGTGGTGTAAAGCGTCGGATGCAGTGGTGTAAAGCGTCGGATCCAGTGGTGTAAAGCGTCGGATGCAGTGGTGTAAAGCAGATGCAGTGTAAAGCGTCGGATGCAGTGGTGTAAAGCGTCGGATCCAGTGGTGTAAAGCGTCGGATCCAGTGGTGTAAAGCGTCGGATGCAGTGGTGTAAAGCAGATGCAGTGTAAAGCGTCGGATCCAGTGGTGTAAAGCGTCGGATCCAGTGGTGTAAAGCGTCGGATGCAGTGGTGTTAAGCGTGGGATCCAGTGGTGTAAAGCGTCGGATCCAGTGGTGTAAAGCGTCGGATCCAGTGGTGTAAAGCGTCGGATGCAGTGGTGTTAAGCGTCGGATGCAGTGGTGCAAAGCGTCGGATGCAGTGGTGCAAAGCGTCGGATGCAGTGGTGCAAAGCGTCGGATGCAGTGGTGCAAAGCGTCGGATGCAGTGGTGCAAAGCGTCGGATGCAGTGGTGTAAAGCGTCGGATGCAGTGGTGTAAAGCAGATGCAGTGTAAAGCGTCGGATCCAGTGGTGTAAAGCGTCGGATCCAGTGGTGTAAAGCGTCGGATGCAGTGGTGTAAAGCGTCGGATCCAGTGGTGTAAAGCGTCGGATCCAGTGGTGTAAAGCGTCGGATGCAGTGGTGTTAAGCGTCGGATGCAGTGGTGTAAAGCGTCGGATGCAGTGGTGCAAAGCGTCGGATGCAGTGGTGTTAAGCGTCGGATGCAGTGGTGCAAAGCGTCGGATGCAGTGGTGCAAAGCGTCGGATGCAGTGGTGCAAAGCGTCGGATGCAGTGGTGCAAAGCGTCGGATGCAGTGGTGCAAAGCGTCGGATGCAGTGGTGCAAAGCGTCGGATGCAGTGGTGCAAAGCGTCGGATGCAGTGGTGCAAAGCGTCGGATGCAGTGGTGTAAAGCGTCGGATGCAGTGGTGCTAAGCGTCGGATGCAGTGGTGCAAAGCGTCGGATGCAGTGGTGCAAAGCGTCGGATGCAGTGGTGTAAAGCGTCGGATGCAGTGGTGTAAAGCGTCGGTTGCAGTGGTGTTAAGCGTCGGATGCAGTGGTGCAAAGCGTCGGATGCAGTGGTGTAAAGCGTCGGATGCAGTGGTGTAAAGCGTCGGTTGCAGTGGTGTTAAGCGTCGGATGCAGTGTAAAGCGTCGGATGCAGTGGTGTAAAGCGTCGGATCCAGTGGTGTAAAGCGTCGGATGCAGTGTAAAGCGTCGGATGCAGTGGTGTAAAGCGTCGGTTGCAGTGGTGTTAAGCGTCGGATGCAGTGTAAAGCGTCGGATGCAGTGGTGTAAAGCGTCGGATCCAGTGGTGTAAAGCGTCGGATGCAGTGGTGTAAAGCGTCGGATGCAGTGGTGCAAAGCGTCGGATTCAGTGGTGTAAAGCGTCGGATGCAGTGGTGTAAAGCGTCGGATGCAGTGGTGTAAAGCGTCGGATGCAGTGGTGCAAAGCGTCGGATCCAGTGGTGTAAAGCGTCGGATGCAGTGGTGTAAAGCGTCGGATGCAGTGGTGCAAAGCGTCGGATGCAGTGGTGTAAAGCGTCGGATCCAGTGGTGTAAAGCGTCGGATGCAGTGGTGTAAAGCGTCGGATGCAGTGGTGTAAAGCGTCGGTTGCAGTGGTGTTAAGCGTCGGATGCAGTGTAAAGCGTCGGATGCAGTGGTGTAAAGCGTCGGATCCAGTGGTGTAAAGCGTCGGATGCAGTGTAAAGCGTCGGATCCAGTGGTGTAAAGCGTCGGTTGCAGTGGTGTTAAGCGTCGGATGCAGTGTAAAGCGTCGGATGCAGTGGTGTAAAGCGTCGGATCCAAGTGGTGTAAAGCGTCGGATGCAGTGGTGTAAAGCGTCGGATGCAGTGGTGCAAAGCGTCGGATCCAGTGGTGTAAAGCGTCGGATCCAGTGGTGTAAAGCGTCGGATGCAGTGGTGTAAAGCGTCGGATGCAGTGGTGCAAAGCGTCGGATGCAGTGGTGTAAAGCGTCGGATCCAGTGGTGTGAAGCGTCGGATGCAGTGTAAAGCGTCGGATGCAGTGGTGTAAAGCGTCGGATCCAGTGGTGTAAAGCGTCGGATCCAGTGGTGTAAAGCGTCGGATGCAGTGGTGTAAAGCGTCGGTTGCAGTGGTGTTAAGCGTCGGATGCAGTGGTGTAAAGCGTTGGATGCAGTGGTGTAAAGCGTCGGATCCAGTGGTGTAAAGCGTCGGATGCAGTGGTGTAAAGCGTTGGATGCAGTGGTGTAAAGCGTCGGATGCAGTGGTGTTAAGCATCGGATGCAGTGCAGAAGAAGAAGAAGTAGTTTTATTTATATAGCGCCTTTCAAGTGGTGTAAAGTTTCTGACATAGCCCTATTTATTGATAAGGAAAACAAGATACAGAAAAAAAATGTATATCTTAACTAGTTTTGCATCTCAAGCAAATGTATCTTGATTTAAGAATCTTTAGATATTTGTACTAGAAAACAAGACAAAAATACTGAGGAAATTATTTGTTTGCAGTGTTGCTAGTAAATTTCACAAATAATAACAAAGAAACGCAAAGTAACACTGAAATAAACATGAAATTTGGAAGTAGAACGACTAAAATAGTATATATTTTTTTGTAAAACGTAGTCCAATAGTATTTATTTACAACCTCGAAAAATATTTTTTACAGTGTACGTAATGGGCAGATTTTGGTTAAAATGTATTCACTGGCCTCCATTTGTAGAAAAAAAATCTATTTAGCATTTTATAATTACATAGGACTACATTATTATATACAAATAAAATTATATACTTTTTTCATAACAAATTTCATTATTAACATAACCATAAATGTTGAAAATGCACATGAATTACATTTGTGATTCAATGTAAGCTGTAAATCTGATCGTTTGTAAAAAGGTTTGATTTGTGACCTAAAATAATGCACAATTTTTTTTTTTAAATGTCATAATGTTTCGTTTCTTTCTTGACCTTCTGCGTGCACAGACCAGTAACTTTATAGCTACATTAAGTCTGCACTTCATGCTCAGGGATGAAGCTGTACATCTGCACCAATTAGGTGACTTTTGGGAAAGTTGTCTGCTTTTGCATATGGGCGTGTGCGTTTCCATAGCCCTCTCTCCAAGTTTCCAGGGAAACAGACGGGCAGATCAGAGAACAGCAAATCAAACACAATTATAGTACATCATCTTAGAGCACTATTTCATTCAAAACGCCTCTCTCTCTCTCTCTCTCTCTCTCTCTCTCTCTCTCTCTCTCTCTCTCTCTCTCTCTCTCTCTCTCTCTCTCTCTCTCTCTCTCTCTCTCTCTCTCACTCACTGGCCAGCTATAATATTCCGGCGGTTGTGAATAATACACACGAAGGGTTTAATTGACAAGGCGTTTAAAACCCTGCCGTCGCAGTCCGCTCGTAGTTATACTTGCATTATGATTTTCCTGATGGAGAAAAGAAGTTTTCCTGCATGAAAAATGGTACACTGTCTGTTTTTGATTAGTCTCGTGTTGTTCAGAATGACATTTCAATAATTGTCTTTTGTATGCATAGTGTGCAGTAAGTAAATGCAATGCATATGCGCTCGAAATAAAGTAGGCTATACTTGCACTATATCAAATCATACCGTGTGCTATATTATATAGTGTATTGATTAATTAGCAAATGTTAAGACGTTTTTACACAAAAGTGGATTATTATTGACAGGATAACTGAGGTCATGTGATGACAGAACACTGAAATATTGATCAATTGTCAAATGCGTTTTGTTAACAAATAGCTACTTAAAAAAATATATTGGGGAGGTTTTTTTTTTTTGGCTGTAAAATGTGTGCTAGTATTTATTTCCTAACTTTGCCAATACCCTTACACAAACTATTTTAAGCCGTAATAGCCTAGTGCGTATAGGCCTATTCCATTGCAAAATAACACATATTTACCCTTTGCATAGGCTGTTTTTTTTTTTAAAAAAACATATAGGTTTTATATAGAACCTAGTATTAAACAAGTTGTCTATTCTATTCATAACATCGCCAATTTGTATTCTTTAACATTCTATTTCTAAGTAGTATAGGCTGCATACAGTATTGATACGGACTGCGAGTAATTCCAGAATGGTGCGCGTTACCAAGCGCGCAATCCCATTGGTTGATATGCGCGCGCACGGGGGTTGGTGCGCTATTATTAAAGCCGCGAGTGGACGCGCAGTGCCAACAGACAGTTCTGTCCTGGAGTACCGGAGACCCGAACGAGGGGGAGACGAACAACAACATATGTATTGAAGCAAGGACATTAGGACCACAAACCACTTCACGTAAGTTCAACTGAGATTCAACAGGTTTTTAATAGAGGAGCAGTTTTGGAAAAGTTTAAATCCATACATACAGTAATTATATGCATTCATATGCATTTAAAACTAAACGTCTGAGTCCTAGAGATGCAGTACTGCTCATTAAATATGTGTTGTGGAATGTGGAGATCGCAGACACATCAGTTATACAGCGTTACAGGTCTTATTAAAATGTTCTTAAAAATGTACCACACTCTTAAAAATAAAGGTTCTTTATTGCAATTGATGTTGAGGTGAAGAACCTTTTATATCCATGGAATCTTTCCATTGCACGCAAATAAATGAGTGGAAAAAGGTATTTTAAATTATTCAAATGTTCTTCACGCTAAAAAGAAAAAAATAGGTTCTTTTAAGAACTGTTCACTGAAGAGTTTCTTTGGGAAACCCAAAACGGTTCTTCAGTGGCATTGTTGAGAAAACCCCTATTTAAACCTTTATTTTAAGAGTACATGGTAACTTTAGTTAGTTTATTGTTACAAAAAAAGTAATTAATACTTACAAAAAAGTACCATAGTGTTACCAAGGTATTCTTGGAAGTTTCTTGATTCCTACACAATTTGAAGGATATGGTATTTAAACTATTGTTACCGTGGTATGTTTTTGTAAGGGATAGCCTTATCAATCATTATCACTTCACATCTGCATGTAAAGTCTTTCATTTAGACAATGCAGATGTTTATGCACATGATTTACTTTAGAACAGATAAAGTACCCCCCTTTGCCTCTCCGTCTCAGTGTTGTGCTTCTGCAGTCACGGAGCAAATACTGCGCAATACATTTCATATCGCAATATGCTGCGGTCTCCACACATTGAACTTAGACCTTGTTGTGCAGAGAACTCTTACTGAGGAGAAAGCTGTGTGCATCAAGTGTGTAGGGCAGGCATTATCTAATAGATCAGGGGTTTTCAACATTTACAGACCACCTCGGACCAAGACAAAGTAGCAGGGACCTAAAAAAAAACCTATTGCTTATTTGTGATATATACACCTTACCAAAATGACTTAATATTTATTATGATTAATGGGTTATACCAGTGAAAATATTTTTTAAGGGTCAGATCAGGAAGAAATAGCAAGATGCACTAAGACCTTCACGGATCTCAAAGTGTCAATAGTTGAAAATCCCGGTAATAGAAAGTGAGAATGTATAAAATACTTTAATGTGTGTTAGGATATTATGATACTTGAAATACAGCATCAATCAGTTGATTTTGTGTGTGTGTATATACGTATATACAAGTGAATAATATACATTTAAACTTACAAGTTTTACTAAAGTCAGAAATATAATTTAATATTCCTGAATTACATAAGGTTACACCAGCAAAAATCTAATTTCCATTAGAACAAGAAGAAATGGCTCTTTAAACTTATTTTCATTGACAGTATACCTGTACTTGCATTTAATAAAATGCACACATTGTGTTTATTTGGCTTTTTGAAATAAATTTTGCATAACAATACGCTTTGTTGCTTGAATACATAATGAAAGAATGATGTTGAGTGCATGTTAAGCGGCATCTCCACAAGGTGCCAGTCTACAATTGATAATGGAGAGGGAGGGAGGCAGGTGTCAGCTGTCTTTAACAATTGCTTTTTAGTGTTAACAATGTGTTAAGATACTATCCGAATTTCCCAAGAATCCACTGGGTGACAGTGTGCCCAAAGCAGTGAGAAGGTGGACTGAATTCAGTTTGTATTTGCATTCATGAATTGCAGGTGTCAGTGTGGGTTGATGATTCTTCATTTCACTATCTGTGCACACAGGGTGCAATTGCACATCTCTCCCAGACCTCGCAGAGAGATGTGGCTGCTGGAAAAGATCCGCGGTTCAGTGGAGGGAAACGTTCTCCGGCAAGGAGACTCTGCGGACAAACATGGCAAAGCCCCCACCTACTGCAACGTCCTCACCCCTGACAAGATCCCTGACTTCTTTATTCCACCCAAATTCGTGTGCTGCCCACCAGAGGAGGAGACGCCAGAGATGAAGCCAAAAAACGAGCTCCACTCTTCAGCGTCAGAGCAGACCATATGCTGCAAGAAGCCTCAGGGCAGTCCGCGCAGCCCACGCCTCATTAACAAGTTGGCTGGAGACACCAAGAACTTGCTCAAAGCTGCAAACCGCCACATCATCCAGATTGAGAGCGCCGATGACTTGGTGGTTGGGGAAGGGGGTGACCTCAACACGAATGCCGACCCGCAGTCCCAAACGGCCATGTCCCTGCCCTACGTACCCAAAGCGCAAACCTCCTACGGTTTCGCCACGCTCATGGAAAGTCCCCACACGAGACGTAAAGAATCCCTCTTTCACAGCGACCCCACAAGTCCGCTTACCTCACCCAACACCCAACGCAAGTCACAGGGTAACCACCTAAACCCCAGTGACTGCAACACCTCCCACTCCAACCCCTACCGGTACTTCAGCGGAGGGGAAAGTGACACTTGCTCTTCGGCCGAGTCCTCCCCATTCAACTCCCCTCTATTATCTCGTTCTGCATCTCTCCTCAAGGTGTTCACCCACGAAACCCAAGCCAAAGTATCCCGAGCCAAGCGCTCCTTCGCCCGGCACAGTTCTCTCTCCACTGATGAGTGCAGCTCTGTGGAGACCAGCCCGAATATTCAGAGGCGCCTCCGTTGCCCTCCTTCCCCTGCTTTCCGTGGACGGAAATACGGAGGTAACATGGATCGCTTCACGCAGCACACTGTCAACCTCCACAAGGGAGGAACTCTACGCCTCTGCACAGACTACGACATCGATGCCGCCCGGCTTCACGTGCGCGTTCTGGCGGCCGAGGATCTCTATGATAAGCAGTTTGACGTGAAGAGCATCAATTGTTGCGTGGCTCTGTACCTGAACCCGGGAAAGCTCCAGAAACAGCGTAGCACCATTATCAAGAACAGCCGCAACCCCGTCTTCAACGAGGACTTCTACTTTGACTCACTTCCCGTTGCGCAGGTGAAAAACCTTGCCATCAAGATGAAGGTTGTCAACAAGGGCACCAGTCTGAAGAGAGACCACCTACTGGGCGAGAGGGAGGTGCCCTTGAAGGAGCTGCTTTCTGGGATCTAGAAGTCTAGTTTCGTCCACCACCTGGGCATGGGACAAACGCCTCAATGCTGTCTTTCAACTAGCAGAACCAGTCAAGGAAATATTCCAGCTTTGATTCCAAGCACTGAAAGTGATTAGAGTTGCAGGACTCTCCAACTAACTATGTGCACCTTCCTAAATTGTTTACCAGCAGTGAGAGTGTATTGGATGTACTGTATGTGTGAGATCTTCTGTATATATCCTCTGTATGAGTGTACAGGCATGCTCCGATTGTTCCCAGGGTTTGTGTTTGTGAGACCAACGTCGTCTTGATTCCAGACCCTGCTGGGTCTCACTGTTGGAGACACCGATAGATAAAAACAGCTCCCCATCCACATCGCTATCTCGACGGCAACAGCTCATTTAGTTGACTGATGCTTTGAAGTCACTTAATGCCAGAACACAAATGCATGCTTCATCAGCCGGTTTGAGCCTTAAAAATGATGAGAATGACAACTATATATTTGTCCCCCTGTATTGCTGTAATAACCGTGTTTCGCCTTATGCCTCTTTAATTCCAATTTAGGGTTTAAGACTGTGACGTTTCTCTCAATCTCACTGTAAACTACTGGACTTTTGCTGTTTTTCTTTTTGAGAATCGAATCTGTGCAGTTAAAAACACCCTTCAGCCTTACTGAGTGACAAGCTGCTCACTTTGAGTGACAGAACTTTAGGGAGGGCGTGATTCGTGATTGGTCAGAACATATGACATAATCATGGATGTCATGACATCATGACTTCTGTAAATAGAAGGCTGTTCTAAATCTGCTTTTAGATACACCTGAAATGACTCCCTGTTCCCTTTAAAGTTGACTAAACCATGCACTGTTTGGAGAAAGAGTTCAAAATTGGAAACAAAAAATTACCATGGTATTACCATGCTAATTGGACCTACTACTGTGGTAGTGCCATGACTCTTTTCGTCTTCTTTTTTTGCAGTAACTTGGATCAGCATGGGCTTTTGGGCATGTACTCCCATAGTTTTTCACATTTACAATGGTTATTTATATGAATATAGTAATCATTCAGAACCTAAAGTATCGTACTATTACGATCTGATACCATCACTTTATCATGGTAATACCAGTTTTTGAATATGTGCCGTGGGCAATATTTTAAGTAACATATTTACATGGCAGCCCACACCATGTAGTCCAAGTTTTTGGATATTTACCCTGATTATACCTTACCCTATATTCTTTGAGGTGCCATGTAAATACCATGGTATTCATTCAGTGCCATGATACTGTGAATATCAAAGTATTGCTTTACCATGGCACTTGTAAGGCATTAGTAACTATAAGCTACCTACACCGGGTAAAGTGTCATTTAAAGGCTATGCTAACAAACACTATGCTTGCAAAGAAGTTTCTTCGGAAACTTAACGTGTGCGTTTATGTTTCTAAAGGACATTTACCGTGCCCACTAGTGCCATTTTAGCTCCAATCTCAGGTTAGGGAACATATTGCTTTTTAGTACGTGTGCACTTTAATGGATTATGTTGTTGATTTGCAACAGTTTATGGTGCGTTGTAACGTTTAGTAAAGTATACAATTGTTCAATAAGATTTGGGATATCCCCCAAGAAGTTTTTTCATTCACTGTTTATGTTCATACAGTGTTCAGATGAGTATTCTATTAAATATGTGCACTGAGTTTTGGCATGTTTATAGTAGATGTGTGTGTAGATGTTTACCATTGGGAGCAGTTGCATGGCAAAGTGTTCAAGCCTTCACGATTTCATTTCTAATGTTACAGAGTCAGATTGTGAAAGTAAGATATAAGCTCACATCTTTTCTTAACATCTTCCCCTGTGTTGGATCCACATCACTAGCGTTATTTTGTGTACTGTACTTTAATACTTATGACGACCAATTTACCTGTATTATTCTCATGCATTGTCTTCATTGGTATTTCAAGAGAAAAAAAGGTGTTAAATAGTTATGAAAAGTCTGTCTTGAAAGATTTAAATCTTATAGTTCTAAAAAAAAAAAAAAATCTCTATGTAGAAAATGTATGGGATTTTCACCCCAGAACCTTCTGTTGCACTCAAATACTGTTGATTAAAGCAGAGTTAGATACATTTGGACTTTAAAATTACTGTTGTATAAGACACTGTAATGCGTCATACATGGCAAGCTTTTTGTATGACCTAAAGAGTGTCCGGTAATATTCCTGAGAGCTCTTCAATCAGGTTACTGCGCTCCTCGGTTGTTGAGTGGATTCACACAATTGCACCGCTATTAGAAGTGAGACAGATTGTCTCACAGTTCTGGCTTCAGTTCAAGGAAACACATCTGTGTGTTTTTGATGAATCATTTGCATATCCTTAAGGGTGAAGTGTGTAATTTACATGCCACATGCAACACCAAATGGAATTGCAACTAGGTTTTCACATTTTCCATTGAAATGTGAGTGATGTTTGCCAGTGCAAAAGTTGCTATGGAGTTGTTGTTGGTTGCTAAGGTGTTCTGAGTGGTTGCTAGGCCATTTGCAACTTCCATAATCTGGCATTTTTCTGTGTGAAACAGGATTTCAATAAGGAAAATCTCAGGTGGGATGTGGGAAGAACTTGATTCTATCCATGAGAGTTGATTGAATGATGAAAAATAAGGCGATGGTGATGTCAGCTAGAAAGTCGTCGGCTTTTGATTAATGATTAAAAATACTTTTTTTCCCCTTTGGAATAATAAGGACAGATGAATCATGCCCAATAGAGATGTTCCTGAAGCCGAATATTACGTTCGGAAAGGAAATGTCACATTCTACGGAGCCCCTAAAAGGACATGGTGATGAGAGAAAAAAAAATGATTACATGCTTTTGCGTTCTCTCGCAATTATATATTGTATAATTTTATTGGCATCAGGGAGTCGCTATCGATATGCGCCGTATTGAAATCACTTTTGAATGCACGCTCGCTTTTTACTTTCACTTCTTTCCAATTCGCAATCATGCATACTTTGTTTATAGGGAGTGGAGGTACTGACCACAAATTTTACAAGATAAGATATTTGTAAAGTCCTCCGTCATCCTGCTGTCAGTCATCTCTCCTTACTATATTCCCGTGATAAACCTGATGATAACCGACCATAGAATGCATTTTTCATTTTCTGTGCCTTTGCGAATTTGGATTTAAGCATTGGACACATCCCTAATGCGCAAGAAAAATGAATATGGAAGTCAATGGCTTCCATCAACTGTCTGGTTACCAACATTCTTCAAAATATCTTCTTTTGTGAAAAACTCATACAGGTTTGGAACAACTTTAGGGTGAGTAAATGATGAGTAAATTCTCTTTTATTAGGGTGAACATCCCTTTAAACCTGTTGCGAAATCTGCATGGGGAAATCTTTCGCCCACACGTGCAAAATTCACAATCTCATGGATTTCATTTGAAACGACTGGATTTTGGCAGCAGAAATTCACCAAACTACAGTAAATGTGACCGTGTTGAGAAAAGAGTTTTCATTTCATCTTGACTTTACTTGCTATTTTAGATTTTGACACCTTTCTCTCTCAATCAAAATCTGCTTATATTTTCGTGTGCACTTTAAAGGGATACTCCACTTTTTTTGGAAATAGGCTCATTTTACAACTCCCCCAGAGTTAAACTGTTGAGTTTTACCGTTTTTGAATCCATTCAGTCGATCTCCGGTTCTGGCGGTACAACTTTTAGCATAGCTTAGCATACATCATTGAAGTGGACAAGACCATTAGCATTTCTAAAAAAAAAAAAATGACCAAAGAGTTTCGATATTTTTCCTATTTAAAACTTGACTCTTTCTGTAGTTACATCGTGCACTAAGACCGACGGAAAATGTAAAGTTGCGATTTTCTAGGCTGATATGGCTAGGAACTATACTCTCATTCCTGCGTAATAATCAAGAAACCTCACTGCCGTACCATGAGTGCAGCAGGCGTAATGATATGACGCAGCGCCTGAAAATAGGCTACCTTCCGTCAACACAACAGAACTATTTTCAGGCGCTGCGTCATATCATTACGCCTGCTGCTCTCATGGTACGGCAGTAAAGTTTCTTAATTATTACGCAGGAATGAGAGTATAGTTCCTAGCCATATCAGCCTAGAAAATCGCAACTATACATTTTCCGTCGGTCTTAGTGCACGATGTAACTACAGAAGTTTTTTAGAAATGCTAATGGTCTTGTCCACTTCAATGATGTATGCTAAGCTATGCTAAAAGTGGTACCGCCAGAACCGGAGATCGGCTGAATGGATTCAAAAACGGTAAAACTCAACCGTTTAACTCTGGGGGAGTTGTAAAATGAGCCTATTTCCAAAAAAAGTGGAGTATCCCTTTAAGTTTCATGATATAGCATGCTGCATACTTTTAAATGATCAGTTTTAGTGCTAAAAATGTCTTCTTTTTTTTAAATGTAATGACTTCATTGATGAATTTGCCCTTTTCTAAATCACATTCCTGTTTTTCCTTCTTTCATCAATTCATTCATACTTGGGCATTTTCTGCTCTGTTGAGTTATCATCTTTCATGCTTCATTAAACGCACTTCCATGTCACTTTCGCCAACCTGAAAAACTTTGTTTTAAAGAAAAAAGCCTGAACACCTTGAGCACACGGTCTGTAATTACACTCCGGATATGAATCACTCCATATGTGCTTCATGCGTATTCTCCACTGTAGACTTCCAGAGTACAATGATTCATTTATTAAATAATTTCCATTTCTATTTCCATCACTCTTTTAAAACGGCCAAATCGCCGGTGTATTAGATTTGCCGTCAGAGCCATGTAGAAATCAAAAAGTCTTATTCCTTTTTGATTGGCAGAGATTTCAAATTAGAAGAAGAGAATGGATTCCAGAAGAGATTCAATACGGGAGGGGGGTGTTAAATCACATTTATTTCCGTAGCCATATTGCTGTACTTGAAGTGTCTCGCACTTGTGTTCGGATAAGTCATGGAAAATGAAGTGCCTATCCACTGTACTTGATTCCCGTTCCTTCCCTATACGCCCGTCACCAGCCGCAGCGTTCCT